TGTCATATACAGCCTGTATTATGTTGAGGTACATTCCTTCTATACCCAATTTGTTGAGTTTTTTTTTAATCATGAAAGGATGTTGAATTTTGTCAAATGCTTTTCTGCATCTATTGAGACGATAGTATGATTTTTATCCTTCATTCTGTTAATCTGGTGTATCACATTGATTGATTTGTGTGTGTTGAATTTTGGTTTGTCAATTATACCTCAATAGAGGCAGGGGAAAAGAGGACTTGCTCAACTCCCTTTTCAATTTCTTCCTCCTTAGAAGAGAGATGTGCTAGTCAAATCTCAACCTGCCATCTTGTATCATGAGGCAGCCAGCACTAAGGATGGAGAGGTGGGAAGAAAGGAGAAGCAGACACTCACACACAAATATATTGATTACTAAACTGAGTGAACCTTCAAGAGTGTATCAAGTCCATGAACGATGGGAGTAAGACCTATTCTCATCACCAGAGTAGTCTAAGGACCCCCAGTATGGGAGGGAGGTTCAGTAAAGATGGTCTCACTTAGAAAGAAATCCAGGAAAGTGAACTTTGTGTATCCAATCCTTTTCGCACCTTTCCTGACACTCACATTAACTTAAGTCACCCATTTGTTCTCCCATAACGTGAGTTACTGTAACTTCTTACTTGTCTGTCATTCCCAGTAGACTATTGTATAAGTCATGTTGTTTATTTTTTATAACTTGTGGTATTTTGAATCTTTGGGAGGCTTGCTGGCTGGCATAACCTGCCCCTCCCAGGGCTAGCTAATTCCTAGAGGCAGTAAGCAACTTGTCAGTGAGCCAGCCTGTCATATACAAACCAACCATCCAGAGTCCATACCCCCAACCACTTCTCCCATACCAGGCCAATATTTTCCCTGCCCTAAATTAACCCAGGACCAGGTTCCAGATAAATATGGACAACCCCGTGCCTCAAAGCCCACTGGGATTATTCAAAGCAGCCAGTCCTATGCCGTTTCTCTGCCTGCTTTGCCTTTCCTGGGGGAAAACACAATAAAGGCCATGGCCTGTGCTTTCCCCTCACTCCTGCTGCTGCTTGCTAACCAAGCCTGGTGCTTCCCTATGGGCCTGCGTGTTGTGGCAGGCCCCATGCTCTTGGGAAGTGTAAGTAACAAACAAAAATCCACAGGCACATGTAAGATACTCAAAATGAAACTGTTGGGACGTGGGGTTTTAATTTTATATGCAAATTGACCACTGAAGTGTCTGTTCCAAGTTACACTCCCACAATAGTCTGAGAAAATGATATTTCCCCATTCTAGCCTACACTTAATCATTCATCCCTACTCCTGGTTTATAGAAAATTACCTCACATTTTCTCCTAGTACTCACATGGTTCCATTTTTATATTTATATCTCTAATATACTTGAAATTTATCTTGTAAGACATAAGGAATAGATTCAAATTTTCTTTTCCTACATAGTTAACTGATTATTTCAACAC